AAATCCCAGAGTTCATTGGCTGCATCTTAATATCACACTCCATGGATCACAGGGCATGCTTCCTTGCACTTGACTGGCTGTTTCTGCCAACTTCTAAAGCAGGTCTCCCCACCTCAGTGCTGTTGACATTTTGGGATGTATAATCTCATGTGAGGGGCTGCCCTACCCTATCTTAGAGCAAGAATTCCACTCCACCCAAATTTACAGGGGCAAAACCTGTTTTTTGTTGTTGTTACTCTTCCTTTAGAGCAGTAGTTTTCAAATATTCATAATGTTTGGAAACATTTTTGGTTGTTTCAAGGAAGGTGGGTGGCAATGTGTTATTACGTCTAATAAGTAGAAGCAAGAGGTGCAGCTAAACATCCTACAATGCACAGGACAGCCCCTCCACAACAAAGACTTTTCTGGTCCAAAATATGTACAGGTTGAGTGAAAAACTGTGTTAGAAGATCATGGTCCGTACCCCCCTCCCCCCCTTCAGTTTCACAGTGGTCATACAGCCAGTTAGCAGCTGCAATGAGCACCATAGCTCTTAGCTCTCAGCGTGCCATGCCATGGGACAGTCATGGTGGGAGTGGCCTTTCACAAAAGATGAATTTAAGGTGAGCTCTGCAGATCCACAGTAACGAGAGGATCTTCATTACCCCTGGCTGAAGGGTGGGCTACCTGGGTTACTGTTTTTCTGTCTTCAACCAGGAGAATGTGAGCAATATAAGCATTCCAGAAAGCCAGTGGGAGAGAAATCTGCTCAGTTGTCCCCAGGAGAGTCTCACCCCGCTGTTGCTGGGGTTTCCATGGAGGCCAGGCCTCTGCCAGGTGTCTGAACGAGGCAGGTGTGTGTGCTGGGTGAACATGAGCTCAGGAGCTTCCATAGCTGGGAGCAAAGAAGAGGGGCCATTGACACCCACTGAGGGACAGTCCAGCAGTCACTGGGAGAGGCTTTGTGGTGAGGTATAGAACCAGGCTCCTTGGGGTTGAATCCTGGCTCATCATGGAACCAGCTGTGTGCACTTGGGCTGGTTAATTTAACCCCTCTAGGCCTGTTCTTCCTCTTGTAAAATGGAGAGTGTCTGGATAACACCTTGATAGGGTTGTTGTAAGGGTTAAATAGAGAGGGTTAAATAATATATGTGCAGCTCTTAGAGCTGTGCCTGGCACATGATCAATACTTTGTGTGTTCAGTATTAGTACATAGAGAAAGATACACTTAGATACCCTACTGCACTATCCATCTGGGCAAGAGCAAGATACCCTACTTCTTTTTTCCCAAGGGCTTTTAGGACATACAGGTTTTCACCCACTTATGCTCTCTGTCTGATGTCGGATTAGAACAGAGGACAGGGAGGGCAGAAGAGTGGAAAGTTCCTAAAGCTGAGGTATAAGGGAGCATCCTCATTGTCCCTTCTCCTGTTAAACCCTTCTCTTCCCTGGACAGAGGAGACCCATCTTTGAGCTCTTCCTCCAATTGCTTT